AGGCCGCGGTGGCCGCCGCGGCGGCGGCGTGCGACGCCGCCGTCGCGCCGGCGCCAAAGCAGGCCCGCCCCGCGCCGGGCGGGCAGGCGGAGTCGCCGCCGAAGAGGCCACCAGCGGCAGGGGGCTCCTCCTCCTCCTCCTCCTCCTCCTCCTCCTCCTCCTCCTCCTCCTTCCTCCTCCTCCTCCTCCTCCTCCTCCTCCTCCTCCTCCTCCTCTTCGCGCCCGCCCGCCACCCCGCGCTGCCTCCCACGCAAAACCAAAAACAGAGTAGGCATACGGTCGGGAATTTGTGGATGGCGTGTCGCTCCGCCGAGCTTCAGCGCTCCGAGCTTTGTGGAACCTGCCGCCTTGCGGAGCGGAGCGACAGGCTGATCCGCTTGCAGGGCATAGCGCGTCGCTTGGGCCGCCGCGGCGACACGGTGTGCAAAAGTTCTTGAAGTTCTCAGAGGTCCGCGCGGATTTTTCGGATCGGCGCTGGGACCAGGGAGGGGGTCCAGCGCCAGTCCATGAAATCCGCGCGGACCTCCGAGAAATCATATCGGGTCTGTTTGGGTTTCCTCTACTCCGCCCTTGGCCTCCTCCCCCTTTCAGGGGATCGGCGGCGGGCGAGGGGGGAAAGCGAGAAAGAGAAGGCTCAGAAGGTGATGGGGCTTCTCAGAAGCCCTCCGGCTTGCTGAGAAGTTCCCATTGTTTTCGCGGAAAGCTTCGAAAACCTCTCAGAAGGCCGAGGGATTTCCAAGCCTTCTGAGAAGGCCCGCCCCTTCTCACTTCCCTCCCTTGCTCGCGGCCGAGGGGAGGAAAGGATACCGATGCCGCTGCTCGCCCCGGAAAGCCCTCGCCGCCACGGCCAGATTCTCCTCGAAGTTCCGGCCGGGATGCACCCAGAAGGAGGCCTGGGGAACAGCGAGATCGGTAGCCCTCTATCCCTTCCAATCCTCGCCTCCCCATCCTTCCTGTTCACCTCCCTCTTCCCGACCTCCTTCCACCCTTCCTGTTCACCTCTCCCTCCGATCCTCCTTCCATTATTCCTGTTCCGTGCCTCCCCCATGCTTCCTGTTCACCTCCCTCTCCCCGACCTCCTCCCCCGCTCGCCCTCCTCCTCGTCCTCGTCCCTCGCCTGACTGCACCGCGAGCCCCTCCGTCTTCCCCTTCGCCTGCCACCCCCGAGGCCCCCTCTTCCTCGGCTGCACGCCGCGGGGCCAGCGCTGGCAGACCGTGCGAGCAGTGCAGCGGGTGCGGTGAACGGGTACAGCCCAGGCTGGGCGAGATGCGAGGTGTCTGCTGAGCCGGTGACAACCTTTGGGAGCCTGAGGTGACTCGCGGAGCGGAGCCGCGCGTCATCCGCTTGCAGGGCACGGTTTGTCGCTGGGAGGCCTCCGCCGCGACACGCCAAGCGGGAGTTCCCAACAGTAGTTGCTGCTCGTGGTGTCGTTGCTGGCCATAGCAGCAAACCAAGTCTGTGGCGTTAGGCCCATCTGTGCCATTCGTGAAGACTGCTACACTCATGGTAATCTCAGGCATCTCAGACATCTCAGGCGAGAGCCCCGCTTTGGAAACACATCGGCCTTCATCCGTGCACGTACCTGATGGGAACGTTTCAGACAGATGTGCACGGCGCGAGGGCGAGAGCCATATTTTGGAAACGACCAACCCCATCAGTCCGTGTAGTTGCTGGGTGCTTCAAGCTCTCTGGATTTGCTAACGCAGCGTAGTCTCACGCGAAGCACCTGGCCCAGCCTATGGAAACGTTTGGTAGCGCGGCAGAGAAGATCCAGGTCTCCCAGATGGGGCCCGATAAGGTCAGAGGATCGTGCCGCATCGCCGATGCATTGGCGATGCGGCTCGATGTGGGGCCCGACGTTCTCCATCCCGACGGCGCCATGCATCTCCGACGTCGCCGATACATCGAGCCGTCGGCCAGCCATCGGCGATGCGGCGCGATCCTCCGACCCCACCTGCTCGGACCCCAGCTCAGGCGTGGACCTAAACGGTGTTTTTGGCGATTTCGTGGGCCGTTTTCGTTTCCATCTCGTTTTGCGGTAGAGGCGGATTCGAGACAAGAGCGAGGGAGTGGAGGAGCTGCCCGCAGGGAAGGCAGGGGTGCAGGAGGGCCTCCGAGGGGAGAGGGAGCGCGGCCGCCCACGCCGACAGACCGCGCGTGGCCGAGCACGGGGCCCCCGCGACGTCGCCGGCGTCGTCCACCACCACCGCGAGAGGAGCGCCCGCGGCGGACGGCGGGCCTGCGCAGGCGGGTCGCGGGGGAGGGGAGCGAGGAGGACGGGAGGAGGGAGGGGGGGAGGGGGTCGCGGAGGAGGCCTGGAGCAGGGAGGGGGGAGGTGGAGGGAAGCTGCGGCACCTCGGACGGGGGCCCGTCCAGGCCCCGGGGGCTGCAAGCGCCCCGCGAGCCTTCCTCACCAAGCAGGAGGCGCCGCGTCCGAAGCGGGGGTGGTAGGATAACCTCCCCCCTGGCGCGGCCCATTTGGATCCCGACTGGAAAGCCGAGCGGGTCTGCGGTGATTAGGCCACTCAAGGGTCCGTCTGAGCACCCGTGGCAGCATGGTACTGGCGAGAATCTAGACACGCCTGGTGGTTCGCCTCGGCAAACGCCCTGAAGCGAGCAGGCCATCTGGACCTGACGAAAGACGATCCAGGCTGGAGACGGGGTCCGGGCTGCGCTACGCAGCTTAAGGCCAAATCTGGTAACCCACTGATGCATCGTCGTAATACTAGTGGTGCGGGCAGCCCCGCGGCCAGGGTCGACTGATTGGCTGACGGCCGTGGAGCGTCGCGTTGCACGCCTCAATTAGGTGGCTTGCCCCAGAGTTAAGTCGGGCTTGTCCCTCTACAGGAGGAATTTTCAAACATAGTCATACATAGTTTTGTTTTTTCTCGTATATTCTGCCATTTTTTGATCTGTTTGACTCTTTTTATTTTTCTTCCAAAATCCGCCTGTGGGGCGTCCTCGACGCGTCGGACGGGAAGCGGGTGGATGCCCAGGCTGTTCGCCGATCGCCAGCATCCAGGACCACGGGACTCCCACACTGGAAGGCCGCTCTATAAAGCCCAGGCCCACGACTCCCAGTGGGAACCCCACGGAGTGTCACCAAACGAGACGATCAGGTACCTTCAGGTCACCTTGGGTGCGTCGTTCACAGCCGTCTGGCACGCCTTTGCCGAGCATCACGCTGCCCCTGGCACCGCGCGTTTTTTCGACCCGCGTCGACACGATCAGCGAACCTGCGCCGCCTTCCTGACTTCACTTTACAGCCACAGCTGCGACGCTCGGGCCATGAGCGACTCATTGGGCCTGGGCATCGACTGGGCGCAACTGCGTGGACAACACCTGGGACACCACGTTGGCGCGAACAGGGGACGCCAGGCACCCTTGCGAGATGGTCGGGATCTCGTGGGCGCCGACACTGGCCGTTCGCTGTAGGGTCGGAGCGTTCTCGTGCGAGGTCGGGCCCTTGACGTCGGAGGCGTGGCCGTCTGCCTCCACCCCCGCGTCGACGGCGTCTGCGTGCCGTCAGCACCCTACCAGAATCAGAGCGCCTGGCGTGCGCGTGCGTGTACACAGCGTGATTGTAAGCTCTTCCCCCTCCTCTCACTCCGCGCGCCTGGCGTGCACTTCCTCCCTCCCTTCCTGCATCATAATGCTGCAGCGGTCGATGCGACGGTTAGTCGCCTACGCCGGGAAGATTGCGAAAAGGGTCGCCTCCACCGGGAAGAGCGCGAAGAGAGTCGCGAATCGCAGGAGGAGGAGGAGCAGGAAGAAGACCGGGAGGACCTTGCCGACCGTCCAACACAACCCACTGGCAACGCGACCTCTTGGCACATCCAACCGCCTCGGATTCCAACGGACTCTGCGACGGTCAGCCGCCGCCACCGGGAAGAACGCGATGATAGTCGGGGGTCGCAGGGTGGGGGGCAGGGAGGATGCAGAGAGGACTTTGCCGACCGTCCAACACAACCCGCTGGCAACACGACCCCTGGGAACACCCATCCGCCTCGGGTTCCAACAGACTCTGCGATGGTCGTTCACCTACACCGGGAAGATTAACACATGCGTCGCGATCCACAGGAGAAGGGGCAGGGAAAAGACAGAGAGGACCTTGCCGACCGTCCAACACAACCCACTGGCAACACGACCTCAGGGAACACCCAGCCGTCTCGGATTCCAATAGCCTCTGCGACGGCCAGTCGCCTCCACCGGGAAGAGTGTGAAGATAGCCGCGAGTCGCAGGGTGAGGGGCAGGGAGAAGATAGAGAGAACCTGGCTCACCGTTCAACACAACCCAGTGGCAACACGACCTCTGAGAATGCCCAGCCGCGTCGGATTCCAAGGGATTCTGCGATGGTTAGTCACCTACACCGGGAAGAGTGCGAAATGGGTCGCGAGCCGCAGGAGAAGGGGCAGGGAGAAGACAGAGAGGACCTTGCCGACCGTCCAACGCAACCCACTGGCGACGACCCCTGGGAACACCCAGCCACCTCGGATTCCAACAGAATGCGACGGTCAGTCGCCTCCACGGGGAAGAGTGCGAAAATAGTCGCGAGTCGCAGGAGGAAGGGGGGCCCACCGTTGGGGAGGAGCGTAGTTGGCACAATCAGGGTTGGCATAGCCAGGGTTGGCACAGTCATGGTTGGCATAGTCAGCGCGGTCAGACATGGCACAGCCACGATTGGCACAGTCAGCAACAACTGCTCGAGTAAATGTTATACAATTGTCCTCCTCTCCTCTCACACCGTGTGCCTGGCGTGCACTTCCTTTCTTCCCCTCCTGCATCCTATTGCTGCAGCGGTTTGCTGCCACACCGGGGTGCCTACCGTGCCGGGCGTGCACTTCCCATCCTCTCCTTTGTTTCACTGGGTTTATCCCAGGCGGCTGGGGTTGCCGCCAATACCGCTGTCTGATGGTGCTTTAACAGCTTGAATTCTATGCGAGGTTCACATTGGGAATGGGCGGTCAGGTGGCCCCTGGCCTGCTCCTGGCTGGCGCCGGCCTCCACTGGCGACCGAAAGCTTTCAGCGGGATTTCGTTGCGAATTCCATGCAAGGTTCACACTGGGATTGGGCGGTAAGGTGGCCCATGGCCTGCTCCTGGCTGGCGCCGGCCTCCACTGGCGACCGCAAGGGTTCAGTAGGGCCTTGCTACGCTGCCGACCTCTACGGTGCAAGGAATTCGGCATGTGTGGCTTTGCGCGCCCGTCGGCTGCTTTCTCCTGCAAGGATTCCGCTTTCGACATGTGCTACTGCTGTACAAACAAGAGGTACTGCCGTTTGCAGTCCTATATGTGACGAGGTTGCCCCTCTTCACTCTTGCGCTGACACGATGCACTTGTGTCGCCTACGGCACGGACGTCGTTCGGGTGTGCCTGTCGGTCCTGTTCGTCTCTGACGGTGCTTTGTGCCGATTCACACCGAGTGATTGACCTCTGCGTGTTTATGGTCGCGCCGCCGCGCGATTTTGGCTGCGCTTATTTGCTGGTCGCCACCGGGATCTCCACGCCACCGGGTTGGGAGTTTCGTTTCTGGTTTTTCTTTTGAGTGGTTGCCCGCGCGCTCGCTTTGCTTGCCTCTCTTTTCTTGCTGCCTAGTCGCGGCCCGATCAATATCCGGACGGCTTTCGACCTGCTTCGCGAGCCCGCAGCGCCATGGGGTTCCCACCTACGCTGACCCGCTCCATTTTAGGCCTGGAGTGCCTACCACGGCCCTGGGAGCCAGCCTGGCGTGCTGCTTTCCCCACACCGGGAAGTCCTTCGCCGCCTGGTGGTTGTGCCTTCTTGCACCAGGCATTCGAGTGTGGGTGGCATGTACACTTGGGCATGGGTTAAGTGTGCTTGGAGTTCAGGGTCCAGCGATCAGTTGCCATCTCCTCCTCCCTTCGGCCCCTGGTGTGCGACCGTCTCCTCACCGTCCCCCGGGAAAGGTGGTTTTATCATATCCATTCTAGGCCGGGCGTGCCCACCACAGCCCTGGGAGCCAGCCTGGCGCGCTGCTCTCCCCACACCGGGAAGTCCTCGCCGCCGTGCGGTTGTGCCTTCTTTCGCCAGGCTGTGGTAGTATGGATGGCACGTACAACTGGTTATGGGAAGTGGCACGTACCATGGAGTCAACGGCCTATTGTGGCAAGCTGCCTCCACCTCCCCTTCCTGCTTTTCTTCCAAGGCTGCGACTGTTAGTCGCTCTTCTCTTCCTGCGGCCCCTGCATCCGCTTACCAGCATTACCGCGGAGACAAGCAGCCCGGCGACGAGTGCAAGTGGGACGAGCAGCGCTACGCTGACGAGCACAATAAGGACCAACACCACTGGCCCAAGCACAACGGGCCTGAACAGCACGTCGCCGGCCAGCACCGCCAAGACAAACGGCACGGCAACGAACAACAATGAGATTAGTAACACGACGTTGATGAGCACCACGGGCTCCAGCACAACGGAGTCGAGGGGCACGTCGCTGACCAGCACCACCGCGACAAGCAGCACGGCAACGATCAGCAGAGAGTCGTGCAGCACGACGTTGCTGAGCACACCAGGGTCCAGTTGCATGGTCTCCAGCTCGACGGGGTCGAGCAGCACGTCGCTAACCAGTACCAGTGGGACAAGCAGCACGGCAACGTGGCCTGGCACTCTCACCTCAGCTACCTGGGGCGCTCCGGCGCACAGGTTACATAGTCGATAAGAGCGCGTCGTTTTCCACGGGAGCTTAGTTGGCACAGTCAAGGTTGGCATAGCCAGGGTTGGCACAGTCACGGTTGGCATAGTCAGCGCGGTCGGAAATGGCACAGCCGCGATTGACATAGTCAGCAACAACTGCTCGAGTAAATGTTATACCGTTCTCCTCCTCTTCTCTCACACCGTGTGCCTGGCGTGCACTTCCTTTCCTCCCCTCCTGCATCCGAATGCTGCAGCGGTTAGCTGCCACACCCGGGTGCTTACCGTGCCTGGCGTGCACTTCCCCTCCTCTCCTTTATTTCACCGGGTTTCTCCCACGCGGCTGGGGTTGCCGCCAATACCGCTGTCTGATGGTGCTCCGACAGACTAAAATCCATGCAAGGATCACACTGGGAATGGGCGGTCAAGTGCACCCTGGCCTGCTCCTGGCTGGTGTCGGCCTCCACTGATGGCCGAAAGGGTTCAGTGGGATCTCGCTACGCTGCCGACCTCTATGGTGCAAGGACTTCGGGTTCGGCATGTGTGGCTCTGTGCGCCCGTCGGCTGCTTTCTCCTCCAAGGATTCCGCTTTCGACATGTGCCACTGCTGTACAAACAAGGTATACTGCCGTTTGCAGTCCTATCTGTGACGAGGCTGCCCCCTCTTCACTCTTGCGCTGACACGATGTTTCGACACTTGTGTTCGTCCACTTCACGGATGTCATCTGGGGGTGCTTTTCGGTCTCGTTCGTCTATGACGTTGCCGTCTGACTGACTCACACCGAGTGATCGACCTCTACGTGATTTCGGTCGCGCCGCCGCGCCATTTTGGCTGCATCTATTCGCTGGTAGCCAATGGGATTTCCGGACGCCACCGGGAATGGGTCTGCCGGTTCTTTTCGCCTTTTCTGATCTGCCGCTCGTTTGCTGCGCCTGTCTTGCTTTTCCGCTTTTCCGCTTTTCCGTTGCCTAGTCGTGGCCCGGCTAGAGTTTGGACGCCTTCTGACTCGCTTCACGAGGCCGTTGACCAAAAAGTAACCCCACCAGCCCATCCAGAAACGATGCTCAGAGGAATTGCCTCGATCAGGGAAGTGGGCAGCACATAGAGGAACGGTCCCCTAGTGGAGGCCTCTTGGAACGTCTTGGGTGCCTCGGATAGCGTCTCTTGGAAGCATATTGGAGGCCTCTTGGGCGCCTGTTGGGGCCTCCTGGGCGCCTTTTGGGGCCCTCTTGAAGCGCTCTTGGGGGCCTTGGGAGCGCTCTTGGGGCCATCTTTGAGAACATCGAACAAACAAGCAGCGAGCATTAGTTAGCGCTGCCCCTCGGGAGCCCAAAACATCGCCTCTTGGGGCGCTGTTGGGGCGCTTTCGGAACGCTCTTATGCGCTCTTGGGGCCGCCTCGGGGCTCTCTTGAGTCTCTCTTGGGGCCTTCTTGGGCCATCTTGGAACCATCTTGAGGCCTCGGATGGCCATCGGAAGCGAAAGGGCGAGAAAGCCAAACACATCGATGTTCTGAAGGTGTTGGCCTCTTCGGGGCCTTCTGGGGGAGCTCTCTGGCCACTTGGAGCCGCCTTGGAGCGGTCTTGGGGCATCTTGGAGCATCGTGGGAGCCATTTTGAGACATCTTGGGATATATTGAGCCATTTTGGAGGTCATCTTGGGCTCCCCCAGGCGCTCCTGGAGTCATCTTAATCAGTGCCCCCCCCAAAGAGGCCAACATGTGGCTAAAACCTTGGTGGGATCAATGATTTGGCATTCTCGCCGAGGCCTCTTGGAGCATCTTGGGTGCCTCTGGGGGGTATTGGGGCCTCTTGGAGGTCTCTTTGGAGCCTCTTGGGGGCATCCTGGGGGCCTCTTTGGGGTTTCCTGGCCACCTCTTGGGGCGCTCTTGGGGCACCCTTGGGAGCCTTGGGGACCATAGTTGGGCCATCCTGGGTGAGATCGATCACAGGAGGGGGGGTCACCAATTAGGGCCCCCCCATTCGGGAGGTCAAAATGGGGCCAAAGCCATAGAAAACCAAAGATGTTGGCTTCCTCGCCGAGGCCGTTTTGGACGTTCCGACACCTCGCGGAACCCTTTGTCCAGGTCCAGGGGAGAGGGGAGGGGGAGGGGTTAACCCCTCCCCGAAGGGGAAGGAGGAGGGGCGGTCAGGTATTATTTCACCCAAGTAGGAATTCCACTACAAGCTATGTTTAGCTAGTATCGCAGATTGGTAGTAAACGTAAGAGATGCAAAACATGATAGACTGCTTTCCGTGTGAGTAGGCAGGCGAGGCGTGTTGCGGCGCCTGCGCTCATGAAAACCGCGCCGCTGGCAAAATGACACACAAACGCCCACAATGCAGATGCGTGTAGTGCGTAGTGCATTGCGCTATCCTTTGTTTACGTTTTGCGCGCCGAGGGGCAGGGCGGTGAGGAGTTACGAGACAAACTTGCAAAGGCGCGCTGGGCTCCACGTGAGGCACGATCCGCGCGAGGGGAACGCATAGTTGAGTGGTGATAACGCATGCGGGCGCGCCCGCTGAGGCCGTTGGTAGGTCCAACTGGGCCGAGATCCACATGAGGGTGGGTTGAGATGGGTGGTGGTAGCGTATGTGAACTCTTCCACTGCAGCCAGTGGTCGTAGCGCGGGCGAGCTCCTGCATTGATAGCACACGTGGATCTCTCTTTTGGGCCACGATCCGCGCGGGTGCGCAGAACTGAGCGGTGGTAGCGCATGCGGGCGCGCCCGTTGGGGCCGTTGGTGGGGATCAACATGGGGTCAAGATCCGCATGAGGGGTGGGCCGAGATGGGCCGCGGTAGCGTATGCGAGTTTTCCCATTGAGGCCATAAGTGGAGCCCTTGTGTGGTCGTAGCGCGGGCGAGCTCCTGCATTGATAGCATACGTGGATCTCTCTCTCTGAGGCCACGATCCGCGCGAGGGGTGCGCAGAATTGAGCGGTGGTAACGCATGCGGGCGCGCCCGTTGAGGCCGTTGGCAGAGGTCCAAATAGGGCCAAGATCCGCATCAGAGGTGGGCCGACATGGGCCGCGGTACCGTATGCGAGCTCTTCCACTGGGACCATAAGGGGAGCCCCTCGGGTGGTGGTAGCGCAGGCGAGTTCCTACACTGAAAGCCTGCGTTGATCCTATATTTTGGGCCACGATCCGCGCGAGGGGTGCGCAGAACTGAGCGGTGGTAGCGCGTGCGGGCGCGCCCGCTGGGGCCGTTGGTGGAGGGCAACATGGGGTCCAGATCCGCATGAGAGGTGTGCCGAGATGGATGGTGGTAGCGTATGTGAATTCTTCCACTGCAGCGAGACACCGAGCCTCTTGGGTGGCCGTAGCGCGGGCGAGCTCCTGCATTGATAGCATACGTGGATCTCTCTCTGGGGCCACGATCCGCGCGAAGGCTGCACCGAAATGAGCGGTGGCAACTTCATGTGGGCGCGCCCGCTGAGGCCGTTGGTGGAGGTCCAAACGGGGCCACAAACCGCGTGAGGGGTGTGCCGAGATGAGTGGTGGTAGCGTGTGTGAACTCTTCCATTGCAGCCAAACGTAGAGCCTCTTGGGTGGTCGTAACGCGGGCGAGCTCCTGCACTGATAGCATACGTGGGTCTCTCTTTTTGGGCGTAGCTCGAATTTGTTTCTCGCGAGGTAAACTGACTGAACTGAACTGAACAGACTGGCCGCACCTGCTACGCGACGGCTTTATTCTCGGCCGCCAAGGGCGCAATCTATGGCGCAACCGATACGAGACGGTTTTAATTCTGGCCGCCGAGGGCGAAACCTATGGCGCAACCGGTGCGAGACGGTTTTATTATCGCCCGCCGAGGGCGCAGCCTATGGCGCAACCGATTGGAGACGGTTTTATTTCCGGCGCCGAGGGCGAAACCTATGGCGCAACCGATAGGAGACGGTTTGAGTCTCGCCCGTCTTCCGTAGCCATTTTGGCTCAAGCCATTTTGGCTCAAGTGCTTGGCGCGCGTCGTCGGTTCAAGGGTGGCCCTTTGGCGAAAGCCAGCTGGGCGCCCTTCGCTCCGCGCGCTCCGCATGTTGGCTCGGGGGGCGGCGGAAGAAAGCTGCCCGTGGCGTACTTCGAGAGATCGCAGGCTGGCGAGGCGCCGAGCCCGCGATGCCTGCGAGCGGGGGCTCTGGAGAGCCCTGCACGGCCGAGGAGACCCACCCTGCCGCGGCGCTGCGCTCGCGGTCCTGGCGGAGGACGTGGCCAGGCGCGAGCGGCTGTCGCGCGGGGTGTTGGCCTCGCGTGTCCTCGGCACCAAGTCGGCTCCTGGCGAGGTGCTCATCAGGAACTGCTCTCAGCATGCGCGGGACCTCCCTGCGGAGGGGGCGGGATTGGCGCAGTGGCGAGCAGCCGCGCGCGGCCCGCGCCTCGGCTCTGAAGGCCCACCAACTGCTGTTGCTCCTGATGTCCTTCCCGATGCTGGGTGTTGGGAATTGCTGCATGATGATCGTCTACCGTTTCTGGTGACGCAGGCGACGGTCGACTGCGATCTCTCTGAGGGCGAGGGCGCCCTGGGCGGCGGCCGGAGCGTCCGGGCCTTCCTCAGGGGCTCGCTTCAGCCCAGCGGCAGGATGGCGGTTTTCGCCAGCCGTGCGTTCGGAGCCGACGGGAGCATCCCCACTGGTCAGGCCAATGCTGAAGGGGAGGTGCCTGCGGCCGTCGGTGCTCTGGACAGCGGCTCGTCTCATGCTTCGGGTTGCCCCTCTTCCGCCACCGCGCCTTCGGTACTGCGAGCTGATGCGCCCGAGTTCGCGCCCTCAGCCCAGGAGTCGAGTTTGTGTGCCGAGGAGGCCTACAACTACCCGTTGAAGGAGTGCTTCGTGTTGCCCGATGGGTGCCCTCCGTTTCCGAGGTGCACCTGCGGCGCCATGGTGTTCTCGGGCATCTCCGCTGCTGCGCTGCCGCCTTTCGTCAGTCTCAGCGGAGGGGGATGCCAGCGCCGCGGCTGCTGCGGGGACGCTGGCGGCCCAGGCTCCTCAGGGGTAGGCGCCGCACCGATGACATCGACGCCTTCTTCGGCGTCGACGCGGGGATGCATCCACGGGGCCTTGTGCGACTCGCCGACTCTGTACATCTTCTCCACTGGCCGCAAGGCGGCGGCTTGGTGGCTGGCGCGAATGGTGATCGCCGAGAAGTGGCTCGGGTGCTGCTCCATCTTTGTGGGGCGCTTGCTGCCGCCAGCTGCTCTGTCTTCGGCAAGCGGCTCGGGCTCTTCTGGAGCCGATGGCGGTGATCCTCCTGAGCGTGCTCTCCCTGTGTTGGTGCGGTTGGGGACGGAGGGCGCTTTTGTCGACCTCACCTGCCGTAGAGCTGTAAGTCTTTTCCCGAGAGCGGGTGCTCTCGGTGCAGTGCGGCGCCTCTTGAGCGACCGCGGAGGATAAGCGGGGGCCCTAGCCTTCGAGGGCCATCGTGTGCTGCGCCGCGCGTGCGCGGCGTAGAAGCTGGGACGGGCGTGCTGCCCGTCGAGGGCGCAATTTATGGCGCAACCGATCGGATACGGCTTTATTCTCGGCCGCCGAGGTGCCAGGGGAAAGAGGAAGAGGAGAAATCAGGACGAGGTCCTAGACGAGGACGGCGAGGAGGAGCTGGAGCAGGAGGAAGATGAGGAAGACGAGGAGAATGAGGAGGACAAGGAGGAGGAGGACGACGACGATCAGGATGGGGGGGAGGACGGGGAGGAATACGAGTAGTGCGAGGACGAAGTGTGGGCATTCGAATGCGTGCTGGGCTACGCCCGAATTATGCTCGCCGTTTGGGCTGGCGGTGGGGTCCAAGCGGCGAGCTGTCTTGTGATTGGGGCCACGATCCGCGCGAGGGGTGCGCAGAATTGAGCGGTGGTAGCGCATGCGGGCGCACCCGATGAGGCCGTTGGTGGAGATCCAAATGGGGCCACAACCCGCATGAGGGGTGCGCCGAGATGGGTGGTGGTAGCGTATGTGAATCATTCCATTGCAGCCAGACAGGGAGCCTCCTGGGTGGTCGTAACGCGGGCGAGTTCTTGCACTGATAGCATACGTGGATCTCTCTCTCTCTCTCTCTCTCTCTCTCTCTCTCTCTCTCTGGGGCCACGATCCGCGCGAGGGTTGCGCAGAATTGAGCGGTGGTAGCACATGCGGGCACGCCCGCTGAGACCGTTGGTGGAGGTCCAAATGGGGCCAAGATCCATGTGCCGAGATGGGCCGCGGTAGTGTATGCGAGTTTTTCCATTGAGGCCATGAGTGGAGCCCCCAAGGTGGTGGTAACGCAGGCGAGCTCCTGCATTGAGAGCACGCGTGGATCTATTTAGGGGGGCCACGGTCCGCGCGAGGGGTGCGCAGAATTCAGTTGTAGTGGCGCATGGTGGCACGCTCAACACAGCGGCAGCTAAAACCTTTCAGAGCAACGATCCGTTTGAGGGGTGTGCTGAGTTGGGCGCTGATACCGCATACTGAAGCGCCATGTGAGGCCTTAGGCGGCTATCCCTTTGGGGCCACGATCCTCAGGAGGGTGTGCCAGACTGGGTGGTGGTAACGAATGCGGGCGCGCCCGCTGGCTCCCTAGGTGAATACTTCTCTTGGGAGCACCATCCGCGTGAGGGGTGTGCCTATTTGGATGATGGTAGCGCGTGCGGTCGCACCCACTGAGACCGAATGTGGACCCCATCAAGGGGCAACGAGCCGCGTGAAGGGTGTGCCGCACCAGGTAGGTAACCCATGCGGGTGGTTCCACTCAGGCCGTAGGCGGATGTCCATGTAGGACTACGGCCAACGTGAGGGGTATGCCAAAATGGGCGGTGCAGCGCATGCGGGCGCGCGGCCGCGGGTGGGGATCCTTGCAGGGCCACGATTATCATGACGGGCGTGTCGAATTGAGTTGTAGTAGCGCGGGCGAGTTCTCCCATCGAGAGCATAGGTGGATCTCTGTTTGGGACCATCATGCGCGCAAGGGGTGCGCCGAACTGGGTGGGTGACGAATGTCGGTGCGCCCACTGAGGCCGTGTGTCGACTTCCGCGTCTGGACACGATCCGCGTGAGGGATGCGCCCAGAGAAAGATGGGCAGCAACAACAGGGAGAAGAAGAAGGTTGGGTGGGGCGCTGCGGATAGAAAACTAGGAAAGAACACATGGGGGGGGAAAGGTGCCGCAGCATTCCACAACAAGCTTAGGAGTCCTGCATACCCAAGCAGCAATACGCCATTCACTGCCCAACAACACGTATGGCTAACCTGGCGTGTTATGTTTCCAATTGTCGTGCCCGAACAGAGTTGTTGCCGACCAGTAGATCGGCTGTCAGGTTCTGGGTGGATGTGTACCTGCAGGGGGAAGCAGGGCTGAAGGGCAGAAGGCACCACTTCGACAGGGGGGACACTGGGGGAAGAGGCTCATAGTCTAATCAAAATATTCTCTCTCGCCTTGTGGTTCTGCATGAAGGAGCTGGATTCAGGACCCCAGCTGATTCGACGCAACTTGCTGTCAAGCCGACGCCACCCCGCCGACACAGCGCGACACGCGCAGAACTCATCACAATGCCCTCTGATGTCTTAAGTTCTCCTTGGGCTTTCATGTGTTCTGCGGCCTTCCGGCAAGGAGCGCGGGAGCCGCAGGCGACCGCCGCCGCGTCCTCGCAGACCCCCGTCAAGGCCGTCTGCCAGATGCCTCTCATCGTCAGATATTTGTGGCAGATGTCACGAGCGACCCGCAGAGTTATAGGCACGATCGCGGGCATTGTATAGGGGGCGCTGGCTTGGGCAGGAGGCACCCTCACCATCGCAGGCGTTGGATGTCCCTCTCCTAGCATCATCGATAGCGAAATCTTGCATTCCCTCCACGCAGTCATGTGTGCACGTGGATGTAATGTGGCGATGGCGATGTTAAAGACAGCCCAGCGGCTACAGATAAGAAAGGTTTGGGGCAGCAGATGATTGAAGTCGAATGCCCGCTGGCATAATTGGATTCAGGATTCAGCAAGTCGGTCACACTATGACGTCCCAGTTTGCTCCCGCCGAGCACCATGAGCCAGCATTCGGGAGAGTTGGCGCATAAGGTCGAAGGCGTTCCTGGCGAGCAACCGACCCCCCGGGCCGAGAAGTGTTCGAATGTCGAGAAAGAGAGAGAGAGAGAGAAAGAGAGAGAGAGAGAGAAACAAAAAAATGATACCAAGAGGGACAGAGAGGAGAGAGAGAGAGAGAGAGAAACCAAACAACATGTACGATTTTGTTTGGCCGAAACGCCCGGATGGTACAGGGCGGGGGCCCCACTTCCGTGACACAGGATGAGAGCTATTGCACACGCACGCACGCACACACACACACACACACATTCACACACATATGCACATATACATATATCGGCGCACCGGGTCCGGGGGCCCGGGGCCGGGACCCCGACCGCAAATGTGCACCCCGGGGGGCCCGGAGGCTCGTCGAGGCTTGCCGGAGGCCTCCCCGGTCAGACAAGACGGCCCAAGAAGCGCCCAAGACGACCCAAGAAACTTCCAAGAGGCCTCCAAGAGGGCTCCGAGATGCTGAAGATGGCCTCCAGACGTCCAAGGACGCCCCCAAGAGGCCCCAAGAAGCCTCCAACATGCGTCCCAAGAGGGCCCCTAGACGCAAAAATTGGCCCATTCCCTTCGTAAAACGTACATGTTCAACAAAGTTGTCTTTTGGGCTTTCCGACGTTACAGGACGGCCCAAGAGGCGCCCAAGACCGCCCCAAGACGGCCCAAGAAGCTTCCCAGAGGGCCCCAGGACAGCCCAAGAGGGCCCCAAGACGGCCCAAGAGGCGCCCAAGATGGCCCAAGAGGGCCCCAAGACGGGCCCAAGAGGGGGCCCAGAGGGGGACCACGAACCGCAAGCTCGAGCCTTCCGCCCCAAGAGGCCGCCAGGAGGCCCCCAGGAGGCCCCTCAAGAGGCCCCAGGAGACCCCAGACGTCCAAGGACGCCCCCAAGAGGCCCCAAGAAGCCTCCAACATGCGTCCCAAGAGGGCCCCTAGACGCAAAATTGGCCCATTCCCTTCGTAAAACGTACATTTTTCACAAAGTCGCCTTTTGGGCTTTCCGACGTTACAGGACGGCCCAAGAGGCGCCCAAGACCGCCCCAAGACGGCCCAAGAAGCTTCCAAGAGGGCCCCAGGACAGCCCAAGAGGGCCCCAAGACGGCCCAAGAGGCGCCCAAGATGGCCCAAGAGGGCCCCAAGACGGGCCCAAGAGGGGGCCCAGAGGGGGACCACGAACCGCAAGCTCGAGCCTTCCGCCCCAAGAGGCCGCCAGGAGGCCCCCAGGAGGCCCCTCAAGAGGCCCCAGGAGACCCCAGACGTCCAAGGACGCCCCCAAGACGCCCCAAGAAGCCTCCAACATGCGTCCCAAGAGGGCCCCTAGACGCAAAAGTTGGCCCATTCCCTTCGTAAAACGTACATGTTCAACAAAGTTGTCTTTTGGGCTTTCCGACGTTACAGGACGGCCCAAGAGGCGCCCAAGACCGCCCCAAGACGGCCCAAGAAGCTTCCAAGAGGGCCCCAGGACAGCCCAAGAGGGCCCCAAGACGGCCCAAGAGGCGCCCAAGATGGCCCAAGAGGGCCCCAAGACGGGCCCAAGAGGGGGCCCAGAGGGGGACCACGAACCGCAAGCTCGAGCCTTCCGCCCCAAGAGGCCGCCAGGAGGCCCCCAGGAGGCCCCTCAAGAGGCCCCAGGAGACCCCAGACGTCCAAGGACGCCCCCAAGAGGCCCCAAGAAGCCTCCAACATGCGGCCCAAGAGGGCCCCTAGACGCAAAAGTTGGCCCATTCCCTTCGTAAAACGTACATGTTCAACAAAGTTGTCTTTTGGGCTTTCCGACGTTACAGGACGGCCCAAGAGGCGCCCAAGACCGCCCCAAGACGGCCCAAGAAGCTTCCAAGAGGGCCCCAGGACAGCCCAAGAGGGCCCCAAGACGGCCCAAGAGGCGCCCAAGATGGCCCAAGAGGGCCCCAAGACGGGCCCAAGAGGGGGCCCAGAGGGGGACCACGAACCGCAAGCTCGAGCCTTCCGCCCCAAGAGGCCGCCAGGAGGCCCCCAGGAGGCCCCTCAAGAGGCCCCAGGAGACCCCAGACGTCCAAGGACGCCCCCAAGAGGCCCCAAGAAGCCTCCAACATGCGTCCCAAGAGGGCCCCTAGACGCAAAAGTTGGCCCATTCCCTTCGTAAAACGTACATGTTCAACAAAGTTGTCTTTTGGGCTTTCCGACGTTACAGGACGGCCCAAGAGGCGCCCAAGACCGCCCCAAGACGGCCCAAGAAGCTTCCAAGAGGGCCCCAGGACAGCCCAAGAGGGCCCCAAGACGGCCCAAGAGGCGCCCAAGATGGCCCAAGAGGGCCCCAAGACGGGCCCAAGAGGGGGCCCAGAGGGGGACCACGAACCGCAAGCTCGAGCCTTCCGCCCCAAGAGGCCGCCAGGAGGCCCCCAGGAGGCCCCTCAAGAGGCCCCAGGAGACCCCAGACGTCCAAGGACGCCCCCAAGAGGCCCCAAGAAGCCTCCAACATGCGTCCCAAGAGGGCCCCTAGACGCAAAAGTTGGCCCATTCCCTTCGTAAAACGTACATTTTCAACAAAGTCGCCTTTTGGGCTTTCCGACGTTACAGGACGGCCCAAGAGGCGCCCAAGACCGCCCCAAGACGGCCCAAGAAGCTTCCAAGAGGGCCCCAGGACAGCCCAAGAGGGCCCCAAGACGGCCCAAGAGGCGCCCAAGATGGCCCAAGAGGGCCCCAAGACGGGCCCAAGAGGGGGCCCAGAGGGGGACCACGAACCGCAAGCTCGAGCCTTCCGCCCCAAGAGGCCGCCAGGAGGCCCCCAGGAGGCCCCTCAAGAGGCCCCAGGAGACCCCAGACGTCCAAGGACGCCCCCAAGACGCCCCAAGAAGCCTCCAACATGCGTCCCAAGAGGGCCCCTAGACGCAAAAGTTGGCCCATTCCCTTCGTAAAACGTACATTTTCAACAAAGTTGTCTTTTGGGCTTTCCGACGTTACAGGACGGCCCAAGAGGCGCCCAAGACCGCCCCAAGACGGCCCAAGAAGCTTCCAAGAGGGCCCCAGGACAGCCCAAGAGGGCCCCAAGACGGCCCAAGAGGCGCCCAAGATGGCCCAAGAGGGCCCCAAGACGGGCCCAAGAGGGGGCCCAGAGGGGGACCACGAACCGCAAGCTCGAGCCTTCCGCCCCAAGAGGCCGCCAGGAGGCCCCCAGGAGGCCCCTCAAGAGGCCCCAGGAGACCCCAGACGTCCAAGGACGCCCCCAAGAGGCCCCAAGAAGCCTCCAACATGCGTCCCAAGAGGGCCCCTAGACGCAAAAGTTGGCCCATTCCCTTCGTAAAACGTACATTTTCAACAAAGTTGTCTTTTGGGCTTTCCGACGTTACAGGACGGCCCAAGAGGCGCCCAAGACCGCCCCAAGACGGCCCAAGAAGCTTCCAAGAGGGCCCCAGGACAGCCCAAGAGGGCCCCAAGACGGCCCAAGAGGCGCCCAAGATGGCCCAAGAGGGCCCCAAGACGGGCCCAAGAGGGGGCCCAGAGGGGGACCACGAACCGCAAGCTCGAGCCTTCCGCCCCAAGAGGCCGCCAGGAGGCCCCCAGGAGGCCCCTCAAGAGGCCCCAGGAGACCCCAGACGTCCAAGGACGCCCCCAAGACGCCCCAAGAAGCCTCCAACATGCGTCCCAAGAGGGCCCCCAGACGCAAAAGTTGGCCCATTCCCTCCGTAAAACGTACATGTTCAACAAAGTTGTCTTTTGGGCTTTCCGACGTTACAGGACGGCCCAAGAGGCGCCCAAGGCCGCCCCAAGACGGCCCAAGAAGCTTCCAAGAGGGCCCCAGGACAGCCCAAGAGGGCCCCAAGACGGCCCAAGAGGCGCCCAAGATGGCCCAAGAGGGCCCCAAGACGGGCCCAAGAGGGGGCCCAGAGGGGGACCACGAACCGCAAGCTCGAGCCTTCCGCCCCAAGAGGCCGCCAGGAGGCCCCCAGGAGGCCCCTCAAGAGGCCCCAGGAGACCTCAGACGTCCAAGGACGCCCCCACGACGCTTCGCGTCACCAATTTCTTCTCACAACGATTCCTGGGTCTGTGACTCGACAGAACCTAAGCGCGCGCGAAGCGCGCGCGTGGTTCTAGTATATGTGTATAATGTGCACAGATTGTGTGTATACATACTAGTATGCTCAGGTCTCCCACTGAGGCTGATAGGTTTGTCAAAAACGATCCACTATACCAAGGCCTGAAATCATGTCTCAGAGGTACGCAGCTAGCGAGATAAACACAAGAGCATTGGTCGCAGGAGCTACTTCAGACCACTTCGGACCCTGCTTCTTGGAATCCCTACCCTGATGAACACAGTCCCAGCCGAGAACAAGATGGCACCTTCGGAGCACTCGCGGCAGGCAAGTATCGTAATGGGTGTGCCCCCAGGGACTTCAGGACGCTGAACGAATGTCATTGAGTCCGAAAGGCCCTCAGGTTCCTCAGCGAGGAAATTCAAGGGGACTGCCTCCCAGAGCAGAAAGAAGACCCCAATAGATGCCTCGACTGTATTGCACGGGATTGAATCGTGTGTCTGTTCCCTGTGGCTCATATGAAGGTACGTTGGGCGTCACTTGACAGGTTGGGATGGGGGAGTGTGCGGACGGAGCGTGATGGTGGGAGGTTCCGCCATTGAACAGGGAGTGACAACGGAAGCCGCTTACTCGGAACAGGGTAAGTTTTAATGCAGTGGCCCAGCCTCTTGTCTCATATCCCACCCGCCCTTGGCCTGTCTTCGCAAGGTTCCAGCGAGCGCGGTTGGCTACGGGGCCCCGTCGAAGGACGAGATGACCGACGCGCTGAAGGCCGTCTGGAAGACATGAGGATGAGGATTTGTTCTTCGCCCAGTGTGCCGATAAGGATCCTGCTACTCCTCCTTCTGCTCCTGCTCCTCTTGCTCCTGCTGCTCGTCCTCCTTCTCCTCCTCCTGCTCCTCCTCCTCCTTCTCCTCCTCCTCCTCCTCCTCCTGCTCCTCTGCTCATCCGCCGCCCCTTTGCACAATACGTCCCCTCCTCTTCCTCCGCATTTTCCTCCCCCAGGCATGCCATGCTTTGATTTATTCAATACGAGGGTCCCCAGATGTCTCAACCCAGTCCTTGCGACCAGCTGCTCATCCTGAGTCGTTTTTGACGGTCCCAAGGCCCGGCGAGGGACCCCATAGGCAGAAAATTGTCAAAAATCCTCAGTCGTGATCGTTGTGCGCATGTCTGGGCCCCTCCTGTCTGGAAGACAAACATCGGGTTGGGAGGATGGGGCTGGGAGAAATGATCAGATCATCAATCATACTGTGTATGTTGGAGGTGCTTATTTCAGTCGTGCCCTGCATTTTCCCACCCCCCCTCCCTCCCGACACGAGAGCTGCCGTTCTCATCATGCTGCCCCCACCACGCCCAGCCCATGCCGGGATGGAGCTCGACGCCGGGAGCCGGCCGCCCCTCCTCCCGCGCGCCCAACGCCATCCTGATGCGGTCTTGGGGTGGGGCCGCGGGGAGCACCAGGGCGCAGAGCCGTCCGAGCCACCCGGGCACGGCAGGCTCGCGTCGTGTCTGCGCGGCGGCGACCCCTTTGAGGTCCAGGCGTTGCCTTCTTTCGACCAGACGTACGAGTGACCTTTCGCTGGAGTGACCTTTGGTGCGGGCCACATGGGTTCCCCCGGTCGCCGAACGCGATGCGACAGTAGCGTCTTGCGCGCTTGTGTTTGGTCCCCCTGCGGTCCCCGAAAAGCTGCGCACCAAAGGTCACTCTTACCCAGGGTCACTCTTGCCTGTAGCCGATTCTTGTTCACAGCCGGGGCGTTCGCCAGGTTTCGGGGCCCAAAGCCATCACAGGTCGGCCTGGCTCGGAAAGTGCAGCAGATTGATGGGGTCTAGGGGAGTCTAGGGCTCTGGTCGCGATTTGTCGCGATGCTCATTGTTTTTCCTTATGTTAGATCTCAGGGCCCGGCGCAGGCGTCCAAGGTTGGGCGCCACCGGTGGCTCCGAATCGGCCGACGTCGAGAGATCTGGCGCGATCGGAGAGCCGCGGCCGCTTCGAGGCTGAACGATCCGAGCGGTGTCAGAAGCCAGCGCGCTGGCCGTGGCGGCACGAGCCCGCCGTCTCTGCCTGCACCGACTGCACTGCGCCTGCAGTGGCAGGAGCTCCGGACGTGGCCAGCTCCTAGTGGGCCCCGGAAACGGCAGGGCCGTTTCTTCACCGTTTCCAAAAAAGTGTCCCTTAAAAATGGAAACGGCAAAAAAAACGGCGACCGGAAACGGCAAAGAAAGGGCTCCAGGATTAGAACTGGAGCCGGAACCGGTCAAAAAACGGCGACGGAACCGGTAAAGAAACGGCGTCGAAACCGGCAAAAAAGCGGCAAAACGGAACCGGTAAAAAAGCGGCCTTGTCGTTTCCACGGCCCGCTAAGGGCCAGCTGGTGCCGGCTCTGCTCGGGTCAGCGGCCTGATGTGGAAGCGAAGGACAAGAGCGACAGCATGTCGTTCTTGGCTGCCGCTGGCGCGGCAGAGGTTGTCGAGACCTTCTTTGCGCATGGTGCAAACGGGCAAGGCACAGAGTAGTTTGGCAACGGCATCTGTGGAAATAATATATACCTAATCGACAAACGAACCAAAAACATGTGCAAACGTGAGCCCAAACACTGAGCTGACGCACTGTGACTGTGTAAGCGATGTAGTGTCATCTACGTAGTGTTATAAACGTGGTGCGAGCTGCGTGGTGTAAGCAACGTGGCGCAATACATGTGGTGCAGTAAATGTGGTGAGAGATTTGTGGTGCAAACTACTTGGTGCAGCAAATTTGGTGCAATTGGTTTTTACGAACGAGTGAACAACCCCACGCTCTTCCAAACATCCCACCCACCCACTCGCAACTTGGTTTGCAAAACCCGTGCGGTGGCGATTGCGATGAGTGCTTGGCGATGGCTGGTGCATCTCTGCGGCCGCGCTAGCCCGCGCACGCTCGCGCGCACAGCGGCCAGCTAGTTTGGCGCGACCGACGCGGCCGCGGTGGCGCTGACCGCTTGGCACTTCCCAGAGGGCACTTCAGTGCGAGTCGGTGATTTGGGCGGGCGTGATATCATGGGACGCCCACAACTGTAGACACGATTATGGAAGTAGCGAGGATGCTGAGGATGTTGATCACCCCCGCCGATAAGGATGACGATGTCCTCGCGTCGGCGAGAAAAGGTTTTCGAACGAGTTCGACATACACGCGCGGCCGACGCGCGCGAGCGGCCCGCGTGGTATTATTTAAAAACGGATCGTCCCCCCCCCCCCCCGCCCCAGCACGCGCACAAGGGCGTTCGAATGAGTTCGGCACGCGGCGCGACGGGCCCGCTTGGCAGAATTGGATGGCACCGTTGAAAAACTCACGGTTGTCTGAACAATCCGCAAGACCGTTGCTGCGTTTTTTTGGAAGGCTGATGATGCAAACCATGTGTCTTCATATGTGCGCGAGACATTCGTTTTTGAAAGCATTGCAGAAACGATAGTTTTGATGGATTCTGGCATGCGCGCGCAACGACGCGCGAGTGTGCACGTCGTCCCCTTTTTGTTGCAACGGGTTTTTGCGACCGCACGCGCGCAAGGGCGTCCGAGCGATTTCGGCACGCGCGAGCAACATGACTGTTTGGTACCACGCGATGAAAATTACACTTGGGAAAACCCAATCAGTGGATGATTTGAAAATTCGTCTGATGGATCTTGAGATCGATTGTGAGATCAATGAGGTCGATAATGGAAGCGATAGAGGACGATTGTAAGGCCGATCGTGAGACCGAGAGCGAAATCGATTCAATGAGATCGATAGGGAGATTGATCGCGAGATCACTCGTGCGATCTCTAGTGAAATCGCTTGCGAAATCGATTGCGAGATCGACTGTGAGATCGATGGTGAGATCGAGTTAGGGAGGTTCGACATGAGATCGATGCTGGAACCGATCGATAAGAAGATCAACCCGGAACCCGGGAACTTGGGAACTTCGCCGCCCACCGAAATCGGCCCGGAAACCGGGAACCCAGGAACCAGGGAACCCAGAACCGGGAACCCGGGAACCCACCGTACGACCAAAATCGGCGGGAAATTTCCGCCAAATTTTTCTTCCTCCGCAAAGACCCTTTCAGTGCAAGCACTGATGGGGGAATGTTGTTATACAAAAGTCCTATACCTGTCGGAAGAATTCGCAAGAGTGCGGGCGCAGGCTGTTTGTGAAAACCTTCATTGCCAAACCATGCGTGTTTACATGTTTCGGGACATCCGGTTGGAAATCCGTACGAAGCATAAGGTTTTTGAGAGATTTCGGCATGCGCGCGCGACGACGCGCGCGTGTGCTTTTCGCCCAGTTGTTCCGCAATGGATTTTCGAAAACTGGTGATTTGTGATAGGCGAGTGCGCGCGCATAGCGTCTTTCTGGAGGATCTTTCTGGAGGATCTTTCTTACAAGCCTGCCTGGGATGGTACGAATTCAGAGGTAGGATGGACGATGGGGCAGAATCATATGCAAATCGAACTTTTAAAAAGTGGTCCGTTAACCCCGGGGGGGATTTAATGCTTTTTTAGACGGGAGACTGTATGGATTATGACCAACGTGGTGCAATGTATGTGGTGCAAATCACTTTGATTGTCTTGAAGCTGTACTCTCCAGCGCTCGTGCAAGCATCTCACCCTCCCACCCGCAATTTGGTCGCAAGACCTCTGAAGGACGTGACGGGGGGTACCAAATTGCATTTGGCAACGACAGCGACGCCAACGACGACAGCGACAACGACGACGACGACTACGACGATACCGACGACGTCTCCGACGATTTCGACGACAACGAAACCGACGACGACGACAACGACGCCGACGACGACGACGATGACGACGCAGACGACGACGACGACGACGACGCCGACGACGACGACGACGACGACGCTGACGCCGACGACGACGACGACGCCGACGACGACGACGACGACGCTGACGACGACGACGACGACGACGACGACGACGACGCCGACGACGAGGACGACAAAGACGACGACGACGTCGCCAACGAACACGACGACGACGAGGGAGGAGGGAGGACGACGACGGCGACAACGACGACAACGACGAGGGAGGAGGGAGGACGGCGACGACGCGAACGACGAAGAAGGAGGGAGGACGGCGACGCCGGCGACGACAACGACGAGGGAGGAGGGAGGATGACGACGACGACGCCGGCGACGAAATAGGAGGGACGACGACGAGACGCCGACGACGGACGACGACGACGACGAGGGAGGAAGAACGGCGACAACGACGACGGAAAGTACGACGACGCCAGTGAGGACGACGACGACGACGAGGGAAGACAGAGGACGACGACGGCGACGACGACGCCGACGACGAGGGAGGAGGGAGGACGACGACGACGACGACGACGCAAGAGCGCGCGCGCACGCTTTTGTTGAAAATCCGTGTCGCGAAACCCTGTGTTCTTGTATGTTTTTCGGACGCTCGATTTTGAAATCCTTCCGAAACCGAATGTTTTTGAAGGATTTCGGCATGCGCGCGCGACGACGCGCGCGCGTGCACTTCGTTCCGTTTTTTCCAGAGGGTTCTAGCTACGGCACGCGCGCAAGGGCGTTCGAAAGATTCGACATGCGCGCGCGAACCCCGCTAGGTAATACGATTCGAAAATATTCATTTGATATTACAATATATATATATATGTATATATATATATATATTATTTCCTTAAGATTTCGTAAGAGCGCGCGCGTAATCATTTTTAGAAAATCAGTGTTGCGAAACCCTGTGTTTTGTATGTGTTTCGGAAACTGGA